TTTTGGTTTTTTTTTTTTTTTTTTTTTTTTTTTTTGCTGCAGCTGCCAGGTAAAGGAGTTGTCATTTCATTCGCCGTATCCCTAACTTTTTTTTCCATTATGCGTTGCGTTATTTACAAGCCATCTATATATCGTTTTATATATTTTTGTCAAATGCGTCGCGCTTACTTTTTCTTTTTTTTTTTTTTTCCCTTTTTTCTTCTTATTCTGCCGCTGTTGCTGCTATTTAATATACATATTAACTTGTAAAGCGTTGCTGTACGCACACGCACGCGTGTATGCGAGCAATACGCACGCACATGAGATGCCCCGCGTTTGATGTTCGGTTGTTGTTGTGTTGTTTGTCGCCGTTGTTTGGTTCAGCTGTTAGTGGTGCTGTTACTGCTGGGGTTGCTGACGCTGCGAGCAGCAACAGCAAAAATACATCGGCAGTAACAGCGATAACGACGGCAGCAACAACAACAATATAACAGCGATAACAGCAAAGCGGCAGCGACAACAGCTACAGCAGTGAAATCTCAACGAAAGCAACGGAACAAATGCTTCGGAGACGGTTGTCAGCTGATTTTTTCCAGTTTTTTTCATTCCGTTCTTTCACTTTTTTCCTTTTGCCTTCAACCTTTTATATGCCCGTTTATTATTTGTAAATTTGCAGCTTTTTTTTTCGCCTTTTTTTCTTTATTTGCGTTTGGTTTCAAATATTTTAGTTGGACGATTCAGGTTTTCCTTTCTGTACCCTCTCTGTGTTCAACTTTTCGTTTCTTCGTTTCCCCATGCGCTTGAAAACTCTTTCCTTTCCATCCTAGGACCCTTTTTAGCCGATTTCTGCTGTCCCCTCCTTTTCCTCCTCTTCCACCCCTCATCCCCCTCCCCTTGTCTTCCAATTCTGCAACTCCCCACCCACAGTTTTCATCTGTTTTCGAAAAAAAATTTTTGCCTTTCCACTGCTTTGGAGACGGATATAAAGTTTTTTCTTGTTTTTATTATTTTGGCGTTTTTCCACCTGGTACTTTCACAAATGAAATTGCTTTTATCGATGGCGGTTGTTTATGATACATTAGTCGATTACAGATTTGTCTTACGCTATTTTTTTTTCTTTTATTTTTGGATTTCATGGACTTTCTTACTAGACATTTTTCAGGAAGCATGAGTGTTCATTGGAATAAAAAAATTCTTTCTTTCTAAATTTCACTAAAGGTTATATTGTGCGCACACCCATCTAAGCTATAAAAAAAAGTCCTATTGGCAAAATGATTTACTTTGATTTCTTAACACTAGTTCTCCCACTTTTTAGTGCATATATTCGCGATAATAAAAAAATGCTTGCGTTTGGAACTTTTGTACTTTGTGAATGTACCCAGTACGTGTTGCTATGAAACTTTAAAAAAGCTTTTTCCCTGTAATTTTTTGGCAACTTCCTACTTCCGTGAAAATATATAGAGGAAAATTCCACCAAATTTAATAGGGAACTCTGGACACAGTTCGTCGTCGACAATGCTTCTAGCGTATTTCACTTCCCCATTCCCTTTGATGTTTTATTACCATTATTATTGCCGCGTTTTTTTATTTTTCTTTCTATATCACTGCTCTTGTACTCGCCTTGTTTTTGGTAATCTGCTTTGATACTTATTAGTAATTATTTGGTTTATTGCGTAGTTGTTTGTTTCCAGATTCTTTTTTATTAGCATTGTATCATTGGTTCTTATAATTACAGTGATTTGGCGCTGATATGTTAAATTACGTCACTTGAAACTTCGCCATTCTGTAGTTTTTTTTTTGCCAATCTCGTATAGAAGCGATGGATACAAATCGGCCACTTACAGTTTCTACCGAGAAACCTAATCATTTACAGTAAGTTTTTTTTTAAAAACTTTTTTGCCCGTAAATTATCTGTTGCTTTTATTGTATTACTTCTGCATTTGCACAATAATGTTATGCGTGGAATATGTCCAGGAAACCTGAGGGAATGAAAAAAAAATGTTATGTATGTGGAAATTTCAATTTTTCTTCTTCGCCCTGTTTTTTCATTTTCTTTTATTGTCTTCGTCGCTAGCCTGCTTAATTGCCTTCCGTCTATTCTACTTTTCGCATCCCCTCCCGCAGCTGTATTTATTTACTTTCTTGAGCCTCTGCCAACAAGTTGTGTGATTTGATCGCATTTGGTTC